AAGAATGTTACACTGAGACTTATAGTATCTATTAAGAAAAAGAGATACGTCATGTAAATTATCATTAACATTGCATCTTTCTTTGTAGTTTTAATAAACAGAATAATTTTAGTTTTTAAAAATTAAAAATATTAATTAGTTCTTTTATTACATTTATATTCCTCTTAAGAAATAGAAAATATTCTAGCCGTATTGCAGTGATAATAACACGTTCCACATAATATTTCAATTTGCAAAATTCGTATTGGTATTTGGATTGGAATTAATAACTAATTACTTAATTCAAAATTAATTAATTATAGTTATAAGATAGACTATAAAATTAATAATTTTTAAATATTAGAAAGAAATATGGACAATACTCTGCAAGATCTTTAATGCCTAATAATATCTTTCTTTATTTGTAGAATTTGTGTATGTATATTTTCTTAATATATTTTCTAATATTTTTTCTTAATAAATTCCAATCTATAATATTTTTTTTTTCAAATGTGTCTCATTAAAGGTTTGCATTGACATTCTATACTGCTTACTTAAACCTACGATACATAGAAAAACGTAAACAGTAAAACTTAGACACTAAGTGAAACAACCAATCATTGAGAATTAAGCCTCTTTGTAATTTTCAACTTATTGGTTAATTCGCTTAAGTGATTAATTGGTTAAGTTATATTGCATATGTTTGTCTGAATGGGCCATATTATTAATCTATTGAATTGATTTATTAATGCATTTAATTGATAATGATTTAATGCATTTAATGCATTTAAATGATAATATGGTAATATGCATTAATGATCCCCCCCTTTCGCAATGTAAAAACTTTCAAAGTCGATATACGATCTGAATAGTAATTTATAATTTAAACTATAATTGATAACATATCATGCATGCGTACTATGTACTATATATTATATATAGGATGATTCATTTAATATCTTGAATATTTCACTTATTTTTGACGATCATTGGTGATAAAAGTGTTAAGATAGAATTATCAAAAAATCAATTGTTTACGAAATATTTTATACTTCTGTCATATATTCTGATATATAATATAAAATATATATAATATAAATATTCATTTTTTAATAATTCTATCTTACTTCTTTTATGTATAAAGTAATGAGACAAATTAATTGATAAAAAAGATACATAATTGTTTTAAAAAAATTATGCAATTAGCAATGTGCAAGTACATACAGTTTCGGTAACTGAGATATTGCGACGCAATCGTGAGGCAAAGTTCAAATTGGTAAATTTAAGAAGTCCTGGTCGTCGTCGTAACTCTCCTTTTTCTGTCGCAAGAGGCGCTAATGAACGTCTCTGTATGACAGCTCTTGCAGCGCTCATTTTTTTTATTTGATATTTCTTTGATAGATGTCCTTCGTATGAAGTTGTACGTATTGATTAATAAAAAAGAAGATATAACGTGTATAATAGTAAGTAATATTGTAATAATATATAATACATTGAAAAAAATAGAATAAGAAATAGAAATAGAAATAGAATTAGATTTTTACAACAAATTAAATTATTAGATTTTTATTATATTATTAGATTATTGACAACAAATGTATTAGATTTTTACAACAAATTATTAACATTTATTAACAATTATTAATAAATTATTACATTAAACATAATTAATTAAACATAAATAACATAAATTAAACATAAATAACATAAAAAAACATATATATAACATAATAACATAAAACAACATAAATAATATATAACATAACATATAACATAACATATCAGAAGCGAAATTGATTACTATTTCAAAACAAAAATATACTAAAATAAAAGATACTTTATGGACATTACCAAAAGTTATTTTTTCTGTTCAAGAATCACATGAAACGGTTCAAAAAAATACTATTTGAGTAATACATGGATTTCAAAATAAGAATAAAGTTTCATCTTACGCAAATGCAGTTTTGCAATTTCTTTTGCATTTAAATGTTATTAGAAAATAAATTTTTGAGTGTGATAAATTAAGTTTTAGGTATATTAATGAATCGATATGAAAACGGAATATCTGATTTGAATAATACATAATACAGTACGACAAGATTTAAGAGGTAATTTTTCTAGCTGCATAAAACAAAATGTATCTGAATTTCTCATAGCTATCTATGAAAAATATGATTATATAAAAAATATATAAATATGATTATATAAAAAATCTAGTTAAACATCAAATACGTTCTATATAGTACAACTATAGTAAAACTTGTAATAATACAATTGTTATTACTAATGATAATATTTTTATTTCAATTCCCATTACTAATTTAAAGAAAGACAGTTACGATCTTCATGATTTATTAAATATTACTTTTTCGAGGTGATATCACTCTCATAACCTATGTAAAAATTGTACATGGAAAGATACAATATTTAAAAAAGAATTAACATTAACACGAGAAATACTTATCATTTATTTACAATTATTTTCAGAACAAAATGGTAAATTAATAAAAATAGATCAATTTAATTTGCGTGCAGTACCAACAACTACAATATCAGGCGGACAATTTTATAAGGTAATGAATGCCATTTTTCATCATAGATCATTGAAGATAGTCATTATATATAAAGATAAAACGTCTAATGGATAGATAGATATTGATGATGCGCAAATTAACAAGAAAAAATGGCCAAAAAAGAAGAGCAAAAAATGTGTATATTTTTTTAAAAAAATTATTAAAAAATAATGACTGAATACTGATTGTTTTTTCTAGTATATATATATAAAGTAAAAAAATGTTTCAAATATGCTAAATAATAAATACTATTTATTACTAAAAAAATGAATGATATCCTAATAAAATTACCTTTTAAAAAAGGTAAAAAATAACGCCAAATTCACGCGCCAGTTTTTTTATTTATGTAAAAGAAAGAATTTTATACAAAAATTTCCATCTACAAAAGTCTTTTTAATAATAAATTTCATATTAGTACAAAAGATGTAATATGAAAAACTGGCGCCAACTTCTAATTTAAGCTTTACGCGCATTTACATTGCTAGGAGGTCAAGGAACTGTTTGCAGGTATGCATTATAAGCAAATGTTTCATCATTTATAGATCGATAGATTGTTATTAAAATCAGAAGGATGAAATATCAGTCTATTCAAGTCTCTTGTTACAAAAATTCTTTCTTGTCTAAACAAAATGACGTAATGATGTAAAAACTTTTGTTGATTTAACGCATAAATTATTACAATTTATTCATTATATTTTAAATTAAGTAAGAGAATTAATTAGATAGATTTTTTTCTATTAATTGTATTAGATTTTATTTCTCTTACTTATTTAGTTATTTTACTTATTTATTTTGTATTTTATATACTTAAACAGTATGTATAAAAATCTGTAAAAAATGCAAAAATGCAAAACAAACAATTTTACACATAATTTTTAAAAAATTAAAAAATTAATAAGATTATTCATTATTAATATGATACATTCTTCTAAATTTTAATTTCTTCTGATATATCATATATTTTTTGTTATAAAAAAATTTATACTGCAAAGAATTATTAAAATATGAATAAAAAATATTATACTAAAATGAGAAAAATAAAAATAATCTTGATATTTTAAACATAATTTTTTGGTAATTACATAATTTTAAATTATTTTATTGAATATTTTACATTTTCATCTATATATATATATCTACTTTTATACAAAATGGTTTTCTCAATTATATTATTGATTATAAATAATGATCACAAACATAATAAATCTTTATTAATTTTGATATTCTATTATTAATATATTTTTGCGATATTAGACTGCGTGTGCGTGCGTGCGTGCGTGCGTGCGTGCGTGCGTGCGTGCGTGCGTGCGTGCGTGCGTGCGTGCGTGCGTGCGTGCGTGCGTGTGTGTGTGTGTGTGTGTGTGTGTGTGTGTGTGTGTGTGTGTGGAAATAAAAATTATTTATATTTTAAATACATTTAAAATATAATTAGCTCTTTAATTATACAAAACTAACTTCTAATTTTTTAATGTTTAACAATTTATGTACAAAATTAATAAATATATAATTAAACCTATTAATAGATTATTTAATTATATTGTATATAACAAAATCAATAAATAAATATATTAATATGTCTGAAAACAATAATTTTATTTTTAATTTAATGACAATATCTTTTATTTCTAATATCTTTTTTATGTATTTTCAAAATATTACACAATGTTTGCAACATTTTAATATAATTATAACTAAATATGGAGAAAATATTTTTGTATTCATTTTCAAAAATGGTAATGTAGACATGGATTTCAAAAGTTCACACATATCCTATAGTATGTTTGTGCTATGTTGATCTATAATAAAATCAACTTTTTATACAAACACCCGAAAACGTTTGAAAGTACTTTAAATATTCCAAGAGATTGCATCCGTATACCGCACATTCTATGAATTCGTGAATACTTTGAAATTGCACAAAAATACATAAAGTGGTCTGCATATATTTGTAAGACGGACTGAATCTATAGACAGACAGAAATTCAAGATATTTTTATGTGTGAGATATAACCGAATTTTAGTTTTATAAATTTTATATTCAGTTTGAGGTTTTTTTTCCTTTTCATATTATTTCTCCCATATGAGATACGAAAAATATTTCATTTAAATAATAACTTTTCAAATAGCATAGCCACTTATATGTACTAAAATATATTAAGTATTAATAGTTGACATGATTGAGCTTTAATTATTAATATTTAATAGACTTTGATATAATATTAATTCATATAGTTAATAATTCATAATTTCGTTAAATGATTATTTAACGAAATTTAAACTAAATCGAGTGTCAAATAAATTATTTCTTAAATTTTTTCTAAATAAATATATAAAAATTTTGTATATAAATATGCACATGATAATTATCTATATAATAATTTATAAAAGTGAAATCATAAGCCAATTTTTATACAAAAATCGACAATTATATAAGACATAATTACTTACCTTGGACACATCCGAATAGGAGCAAGAGTGATGCAAGCATATAGCAATGATTTCCTGTCAACATGATATTCTATCCGTGATCACACACAAAGTTAATTCCGAAAGCACAAAGCACTCCGCGAAATACTAGGAACTTCATACACACACTTATATGCACTTCCTGCAATAACAAACACCATGCGTGAATGATTTCGTTAGAAATTTCTTCAAGCGAAACACGGGGTTACGATAAAAATGAATTTCTCTCTTAAACAAATCAGTGTGCGGAAACCTCCTACAACGCGGAACGGAAGCAAACTGAACTATGGCTAGCTGTCCAAAGTCCGTATCAAACCCCTTCTCTTCCTCTACCTCATCGAGTTCTCTCCCACTATTCGTCGGTTATAACCTCCCCACCGTCCTTTGCTCACGCGCTCACCTCGCATTTCACGTTCCACCGTTCGCACTATCAGACAAACCTCCCTCTTTGCGTTCGAAACCCCTCCTGACACTTCCGGCAACGCGTTTGCATCATGTTTCTCTCTCATGCTTCCATCCTTACAGACTTTACAGACTGTTCCATCTTTTTTCACTTCTCTCGACATCTACTCCCTTGATGCATCCCCTTAAGTAGTCATAGTGCTACTCCACATGCTTATTCCTACATGTCAATTTATCGCGTCTCCAGTTTATCGAAACGTAGGATTATCGCGTTGTGACGCCACATCGCACACGTTTTGTCATCCGCTCGAGTATCTCTCGCGGATAATATATGTTTTACCGTGCGCGCCGCTATATCGATCGCGCCTCTTCAGTATTGTAATGAATCATGACATTTACCAGAACTTGCTCGAGATATAATCCATTTTTATTTAATTTTTTCTTGCTTTAGCTATATTCTCTCGCTACTGCTTCATCCACTGAACACTGCACTATAATGATTTACAAAAACGTTAAAAAATGCATAATTTTCTTCATGAAATGATTATTTTATAAAAATAAAATAATTCTCTAAAAAAAAATTAAATTGATTAATAAAAATAATAGGAAGAAACTAAACAAGCAATTTATTAATTTTATTTAATCTCAATCAATCAATTCCTTTTATTTAAGGAGAAACATAAAAATAAAAATAAAATAAAAAATATTTACGAAAAGTTTTTCAAAAATATATAATTACATATTACAAATTGCATAAATTAAAAAAAAAGTTATGTATTTTCCTCACATCACATTATTATCTTACCTCATAAAAATATTAAGATGGTTATCAAGAAATTAATAGTTTATAAATTATTTTATATTTTATGTTGAAATATGCCAAAATAAAATATAATAAAATAACTATACCATATCTCACATAAACTATTAATCTTTTGATATTTTGCATTAATATTTATATATAAAACAATTGAAGAAATCATTGTATGTGTATGCTGTGTTGTGTGTGATATAAAAAGTTATTTAAGTTTTTTATCTTTACAAAAAAAGATAAAAAA